CTGTGTAACATAAACAGGATGAATATTTGAAATATGTTGTGAATCAAATGTTTAAATGTGAAATGTCTCCACTTTTTAAAAATAAATCTGGCACGGATGAAATTATGCTATTTTACATCAAAATGTAAAATGTAATATAATTCTGAAAGATAAATATGGAAACGAATGAATGAGGAAAATGTTTAAAGAAGAGATTGAAATTTCAGGAAATATGCTTATTGGCTATCTTGCTGAGAGTTGGATGAGAAGATCAATACCACTCTTATTTTTGTCTGTTGCAAAGCTACCAGGAGACCATTAGGTTAGCTTAGCACAAAGGCTCTGTCTAAAGGTAAAACAAGACTACAAGAAGAGCAAAGACAGCACTGAAGTCAGGTTATTTCTTTGCCTCATTCAAAACACTTTGAATTGCCTTTCTTTTCGAAAGGTGCTATACAAATAAACTTGCCTTGACTTGCCTATGTAATTTTTCCTTTGACCTCCATGCATTTCTGATTTGACTATGGCTAATGTATTGCCTTTACTAACACACTGATGTGTGATGGCAAGAATGTCTTATAGTCCTTTCAAAGGGGTCAGACTTATCAATTAGTGGCCTGACTTTGAGTGCTTCAGAGTCATTACAGAGTGATGTACTGGATGATCAAGTATTAAAAGATGGGGTGGTGATGAGTGATGCCAGTTTTTCAGTAGTACTGGTGGCTGTGTAGAAAGTGAATCTACAGTATATAACTGATAAACTGTAGACCTACTTGATGTGAGATGTAATCATAAATCAGAATTTCTAGCCTTGGCTGAAATTATTCTGTCAAGTGGTGAACACATGTGCAGCTACGTGTAGACATTATGTGCGTATATATGCACACACACACATACAGACTGTGGATACATACATGTACATTTTCATGCTTGAAGTCCTGACACACGGCTTGAGGGCTCCAAAAAGAGCTCTTTTCCTCCTTCAAAGCTATGAAGAATGGAAGCTGCAGCAGCCACCAACAGACAGCCTCATTTGTATCCGTTCATCCTGCCTCAGAGAGAGAAATGTGCAACAGAGGAAGAGATAAAGATAAAAAGATAGAACGATAGAAAGAGAAAGAGAGAAATGATTGATGCTAAAATAAATGACACTCAAAAAAAAACATTTGGTGGAATGAAAAGGCCCTTCACACCCACTCTTTACCACTCCAGCATTGTGCATTAAAAAGGCCCAAAACCAAGATCAATACTCATATTCTCTCTGATTTTCCCAATGGTATGCCAAACCACGTTAGGTGAAAGTAATAGGGAGGGCATTAAGCATAATGCAGCTGCTAGCTATTAGCTCCCAGGGCAGACAGGGAGAGAAGTGGGGCTGTAATAAATTCAATAAATGACTTCCCCTGCCACTGCAAGCAATCCGCAAAGGACCTTTTCACACTCTGGGATGATCCGCAACACCCTGCAAGCTGATTCCTCCCCCTTTCCTCCCCCAGTACGAGGGTCATCTTCAGTCTTCTGCAACCTGCCTTCTTCTCGTCTTTTCTCACTGTGGACTTGATCTTCAGTACCCTCTAGGGGAGATCTCTGGTAATTTGATGCCTCTTTTTTGCCATTCACACTTAAACACAAGAATAGGTAGCAGCTGGATGAATTAACTGTGATCATTAAAAGACTGACATTATTACACAAGGAAATAATGGAAAGCTTACCTGCTCAGGACATTAACTAAACTGGGAATCTGTGGCTAAACTGGGTGTAATTTACTAATTTGCCACTTTGGCTTGCACTGGGAAACAACATCCTGATCTATTAGTGCATGTTTGAAATCACAAATTATCCTTATCATATATTAAATGATAAAAACAACATTTAATTGTGCTGTGCTCATAAGGGAGGGATGAGGAGCTGAGGAGCTGTGCCCTGTGTTTCCACTGCTGTGTGTCTTTGGGGTTGTATAGCAACAACTACAGGGTGACTGACTCTGCCACTCTTGCGGGATATCGGTCTGCTGCCAAATCCCTCCTGATTTGGCTGTAATTAACCAGGCTGAGCCTTGTTTTTGCATGTGGACATGAATAGTAGCTTGTTATTTGAACATTAATGGCTGTGTGTGTGTGTGTGTGTACAGCCCTTAGTTCACCTTGGAACAGCGCCTCAGCAGCTGTGTGTCCTTTGGAGCAATGTTTGTGTTTATGTCAATACATCCTCCTGTAATCATGTTTTAGGATGTCCCTGCCTCACGGTTTTACAGGAAGAGACGTGAAATGTCTATATCTGTCAGTACACGTGTCAACCCACCTTTCAGTGTTCAATTGACTTAAGGCTGCTGCCATTTCCCATTTCCTTGGGGTGGACCTTATGAGAAAAGCTTTCAGATTGGAAGGGCATGCATGGCAGGAGTTTGGACCATTATTTTGTTTATTAAAGACATTACTTTAATTAATTTAACCCCCACCCCAAATAAAAATAAAAATGAGGAAGCGAGTTATGGTAGCTGAAGATAGTCTTTAATGATTTGACCTTGGTGTCTCTCCTTGCTAGGACAAAAGTTCACCTGCAAAATGAAGGAACAGCGAACAGCATACAGAGAACATGTTAAACCCATTTGCCATCCATTAAAAGTTGATTTATTCCAGTGCTACTACGTACATTATGCATCATGTGGCAGTGTACACAGAACAATGATTGGGATACATTTCTTCACCTTTGGGGGTTTTTTCACTCTGTTATTGTTCAGTAGAAGTGTGTCCTGCTCTATGAAGAAAGCCTACTTTTCAGAATAATAAAAGACTCTTCGATGCGTTTATCACTTTGACTCATCTACCATCATCAGAATAACATCATGAATGTCCCTCACTTCACTACAAAATACTGTGAATTTTTCTATTTTCTGGTGGAGAAAATCGTATCACTATTAAATATTGGAATGGTGTTTTGGCAGGACTTTGTTGGTGGTAGAATAAGGACTGAAGAAAACAAACCTTTACAACAGGGTAAAAAACAACAGAACCTGATCATACCACCAATTGTGGAACAGAAAGTTTCAAATTAATAAAATGCCAGAATTTCAAACCCTTCATATCCTTTCTAAATATTGTTTTTCTACTGCATACTTGCAAAATGCTGTGCATTGCACCAGGCTACCTTTACCCCTGCGGTTTACCATTTGTCCCGTTTACTTGGCGACATCTACAATGAGGTCATATTTACAGGACACCCACTCTTGCTGTTGAAAAACCCTCCAGGGCCATAATGGACATCTGTCAGTAAATGAGCTATTGCTCTCCTTTTTCTTCTTTTCAATCTACTCTCTCCCTCTTCCCTGCTGCTTGATGAAGGATGAAGTCCTTAACACCACTACCGTCTCATCTCTCTGGGGAAGACACTCCAGCATCTGTGATCCTTCCTGGTGTAACTGAATATTACACACAGAGTGCAACATGGAACATGACCTGGGGTTTCCCTGCTTCTTCCTTTTTTTCTGTTTTCTTTTTTTTCATTCGAACCACTCAAAGGTCTTTGCTGCGGGCCATTTGGGAAGCCTCTTTGTGTGTGGGGGACTTATGTTCTTAATGATGACAGATGACAAACGTGAGGTTAAACCTCTGATGTAATGAAGAGGTGGAAACCTTAGATACGAACAGGCAGGTGAGGTCGCAATCAAGCAGATAATCTCCCATTAGCCGTCCTGACTCATTGGATGACACTGATTGAAACAGAGACTGTAATGGCATGATAGACCCCTTCATACTGGAAGGGTGGAGTGCAGCACTGTACGAGTGTCTAGGTGGGGGCAGTAAAGAGTCATGCTTCATCAACTCAAGTTGAAAAGAAAAAAGCTAATATTCATGCTTGATTAAGTTCCACTCGTAGAAACTGAATATGTTCTTAAATTAAGTGCTCTCTGGCCAGTCCAAAGCCTGTGGGAGAGTGGATTCGCTCACTGTTTCACGGACTAAGACCCGATTCAGCTCGAAGCAGCTTGAAAATAATTAAGATCCAGCAAAAAATAATTATTCTATTTGTCTGTTAGCTTGAGGGGCCATAAAGGTGATTTTTAGTACTAACATCCTTTTGGGACTCAGATTATCTACCATTCAAACTACTTTAGGACAGCATGCTAGCCCGCTAACCCGCTGACTTCCTGATCTGCCTTTTAAATGTTTTTTGGAAAAAATAACTTTCTCTTCAAATCTAAAATATACAAGTCATCACAACTTTAGGATGCGTCATTCACCATGCCTTTAAAATTTCTCCTCTATCATAGTGTTTAAATGTCATTTAGACAAAACCTCGGCCTGATACTGTAATGTTAAAGGAATAGTTTGAAATATGCTTATTCGTTTTCGAGTGTTACATAAGAAGATTGATACCACTCTCATGTCTGTAAATATAAAGCTACCACTAGCAGTTGGTTAGCTTAGCTTAGCATTAAGACAGAAAACAGCTAGCCTGGCTCTGTAAGAAGGTAATAAAATCCACTTAGCAGCACCTTTAAAGCTCACTAATTAACCAATAGCTTTATATTTACCATACAGACATAAGGGTGGTATCAATCTTAAGAGGTAAAAACTCCAGCAAAAATTGTACTATAAAGAACAACCTACGGTCAATCTTCTCATCTAACTCTCGACTGTGAAGCGAATAAGCGTATTTCTCAAAATGTCTAACTATTCTTTTAAGCTTGCAGAGGGACCAATTCATCAAAGTTTCTTCAGCACTTTTATTTGTATCCTTTCAGGATTCTTTTCCAATGGTGATTTTTCTTCACCTCATATTTTAAACAGGGAATGCATTACAGAATGACATTACTGCAACTCTCTAGGTTCTGCAACTCTAAAAACCCTAGATATCCTAGTAAAAAAATTAACTTTTAGTAAAAAATGACAAAAGAAAGGAAAGGCAACAAACAAACAAACAAAATATAATAAAATCAAAATCATGTAAATCATGTAAAATCATCAAGCCATACAAGGAAAAGTGTGTCCCATTGTCATTTTTGCACGGAACCATGCGAAGGATCAAGGTTGGTTTCTCAGTTTGACTGTGATGTGTGCCTGTGTGGCCGTATATACCAGCAGACCTCAAGCCATGCCATTATCTTAAGACCACAGGAAGCTCTAATTAGTGGTGGTGAGAAAGGTAGAGAACTACATATTTCATTGTTTTGTGTATGAGTGTGCAGCATTGAGCTAAAAGTGAACTTGTTCTCTGACAAACACACGCACAAATATTCTCTCAGTCTGTCTCACTCTCGCTTACTCTCTGAACTTTTTCATTTCTCACGGTGTTAGTAGAAATAGAAAAAAAAGTTTTCAAAACATTTAGAGTTGCTGTGTAATGGAGGCAATGTTATGCATTACATTAAGACATTTTCTTTAAATTTCTGGAGAGGAATGTATCTGAAAAAGGAATGCAATGCTGTATTCAGACTGTTAACATCGTAAAAAAGCTCTGAAATTAGTAATTAAATAACCCTCTACTATTTATACATTCAGGCACTGAAAAATCACATGTCAATATGTAACTAAAAAAGATAGTCGCTCTCATTTTCCCTTGGTAAGAACAAGGAAGCTGAAACCTTGAAGTTGGCAACTGTGTAAATTTGTCCTACCCAGTAGTAATGCCATATGCATCCCCTTTGCTCTTCTTTTGTGTGACAGTTTCCCCTCCCCCTTTAGCGCATTTTCAAACACTGACTGAAGTCAGAGCTTTCGTAGCCTCCTCTAAAGCTTTCACCCTAACCTATGGGAAAGAATCCATGACACTAGTCTTTTGAAAGGGAAATCCAATGGTTTGTCTCGCTCTCCTCACCGTACAAACAGATAGACGGACGGATGGGTGGACGGATGTCCTCCATGGCCTCAGAGGGCCAGCAGGTGAGCAGAGGCCCTCAGATCCACAGACCAACTTCCCCCCTCGTTGTTAAGGACTCTCCGGTGTGATAGCCAGCTCTCACCCCAGCGACCCTGAACTCAGTCATTTTTTAACTATACAAGGGCTTTTACAAAAAAGCTAACTTGAACAGCCATACAATGGCTAAAACATAAACCATATCTCTACTTTATCTCGGTTTTTCAGTCATTTTTAATTTTTTTTCTCTTTTTCTTTTTTTGGATGCATTTGTGTTTTTTCTTGATTTAAGTCTGTTTGCTTTTCTTTGTTCTTTTGGAGTAGCTCTGATCCAGTCCTGTGCTGAGAGGCTCAGTCACAGAGGAATTGGTTTTTGGATTTGATGTTGGGTGGGGAGGAAGGGGAGAGGGTATGGTTGGGTGGGATTGAGAGAATAAGGGACAGGATCAGGTCAGGGGTCAAGATATGGGTTCATTATTATTCCAGACAGGGACTCGCCAGCGGTTACAGGGACAACTTTGGATGGGACAGAATAAGGTGACGAGTTGGTTTGGGAAAGGTGGGTCTCGAGGGTGATTGCAGAGGGTGTGTCAAGGTTATCCGCTATCAGAGGATGTGTGTGGTGCTGTGGAGGGAGAGCGCCGCCTACGGGCGGTGGAAGTCCAGGATCGCTCAGAGCGTTCAGAGCGCTCTGAGGCTAGTGAGGCGGGCCGAAAGCGGTGAACAAAGCCGTCCAGGAAGTCCTGCTGCTGCTGGGTTATGGCTTGGGAGATGAGGCAGGGCAGCGCCTGCAGGCTGCCCGTCACCGAGTCCAGCTTGTCCTCCAATGTGCCGATGCGCTTGTCCAGCTCCTCACTGCGCTCCTGCAGCTCTGACACCAGGTCATACATCACATTCTGGGTCTAATGAAGGAGAGAAAGTAAATGTGTTTGGGGAGGTGCAAGAACAGGAGGACAGAGACGGAAAAGGAGAAGGGCAGAACAAAGGAGACAAGATTAAAAACATAAAAAAATCTGTTTTACAACTTAATTTCTACAAGGAGAGATGCAACAGAAGATACAGTATGTTTAGATAGACAGTCTAAATCTGACTTACTCAGTCTGAAGAGAAGGAAATAATGACAGGAAGCAGTGTGAAGAGAAACTGTATAGTTTCAGCAAGTCAGCATTGATTTTATCTTCCCACCGTTTCATAACCAGCTTCTCCAATCCATTTATCGCCAGAGAAGGTCTTTAATGCTTTATGTATATATGCCCGACACAACTCATTCACATACTGAAAAGTATCTTTATTATAAAGAAACTTTTTGTTCCACAGTAGATGCAGCGGAGACAGTGTTAATGTATGTGGTATCTGCATGTAATTCTTGTACTCAGACTATATATATTCCATATATATTTCTGTCTTATCTATAAGCCAGAAATCAAAGGGTTACTTCTCCTTGGGGCTTAGAAAAGAGACATTGAGCCGTTGAACTACTGTAGGGTGTACACAGATCTGACCATCGAGCAGAGTAAGGGCAAGTAAACACACATTAAAGGAGTTGGCCTTAGAACCTTTTAAAATACACACTGGAGTGCAAATGCCATCCACATCAAATGAGGCTGCAGTCATGTACATCCCTTTGAACCCCCTCTCTGCCCTGCTTTGGTGGGTCAGCTGATACAGCTGGATAGAAGCTACCGAGGCATGACTGCATTCACCCTCCTATACAGCCAGATCCTCAAACTCTACAGGAATTCAGTCTGTGTTGATTTGATTTCAGTTATTTGACAAACATGAATGACAACAAAACAACAAAAGTATACAGCAGACTTCAGGGATCGTCTTTTATTGTCTCTGATGATTTTAAAGCTCATAAGAACAAAACAGTGAGTTGAAAGATGCTAAAAAGCTCCGTAGAGTTGAGGGGAACTGATGGGAAAATACTGATTATAGCCACTTTAAGGTTACATCAGAAAGGACACTTACCTTTGCCAGGTCCACCAAGGTGTTGGCCTGATCATTGAGTTTCCTCTGCTCCATCTTCACACTGCGCAGTCTGGTGAAGGCACAGGGAGGTGGGAACAGGACGAAGAGGGAAGGAGGAAGTGGACAAAGGAGAAAGGGGAGGAGGTGGAGAGAATAAGGGAGTTCAGGGGGAGGAGGGTGGTTTGCAGGAGTGGAGCATAGAGAGACAGGTTGTTTGGGGTTATGAAGGGGCAGAGAGGGCCAGTGAGAAAGAAAGAAGGAGGAGGAGGAGGAGGAGGAGGAGGAACAACAACACATTTTTTATCAGGCGTGCTCTCTTACTGATGACATTGAAAACAGAGAGGACAGCCTGCATGCATCATAAATATATGTACTTTACATATCTATATGTATACATATATATAGAAATATATATGTATATATATACAAGCATTCCTGGTCTTGGTCAATGCAATACCAACCAAAACATGCAAAATCGCGGAAGCATACTACGCTCATTTTGAAAAATATAAAGAGTGTGTTTATCATGTTTTATCTGGGTCTTTTTTTTGTTATAACAAGATCTTTTTCTCATAAAAGGCAATGCTTTAAGTGGCATTGTTTTTAACTTAAAAAGTATTTTTTGCTGCTGAAACAGTCTTAATACTGAGAGATGATCTTGTTACAACCCAAAAATAATCTGTTTTTTGAATAAGACAAAAAAATCTTAATATAATGCCACAAGTGTTATTATCACTATGACAAAACATGATGTCTTTTCCAGCAAGAACACAATATGCTTCCATACAATAAAAAATCCCAAAATCTGTTTGAAATCAAAGCATTCCCATCTCTTTCCACCCAAAAATAAGACATTAAAAAAGGAAAAAGATGACATGCCCTCTGTCAGTGCTACACACAGCTCAGTGGTAGGACTTCATATATACACACTGGTCATTCAGTAAGCGTGCAGTGGCTGTGAGTGACTTTGTGCACAATGAAATGTGAGTCTTGTGTGTGTGTTTGGGCATTTGTACATGGGTTGATGTGCGTGCGTGTGGATGCCACAGATAAAAGATGAAGCTTGCCAGAAATAAACTGTCTAATGACACTGCTGAACATACGGCAACATAGACATTTCAAATAACTTGCGCAATGATACATCGGACATGTTTTGTGATGCCTTCAACATTGTGCCTCTTTATCTCTAATCAAATGCATTATGGCACTGTAAGAACTGCTAGCACTGATGTGAATAATGTGTCATTGTTAGCGGTGGCATCACACAGCCATCATCTGGATGTGCGAGAGGAAGAATTTCCCTGTTCAGCAAATTATGAGACAGGATGACATTCAAGGGCATTTATTCATGTGCAAATCAGTATATCAGAGCAGAGTGAGACTGCTCGCTTACGGCTCTATCTCTGTGGGAAACCGTTTCAGCTCGTATGTGTCTGTTTGCTCGGCTTTGTCATCCCTTATGGCTGTCGAAGAATAGGGGGTAAAAGCTAAAAGCGCTACTTATTAGTGTAGCACATTATGAGTACAATTGTATTCTGCAGCCTACATGTTGTGTCATGTCTTTTTGTGCTATGTTATTAATGCCATGTGCAAGCTTTGGTATTTGATCTTATATAAGAAAGGGAAAAAATTTAAAAAACAATATTAATTCAACAGCAAACATTTCAACTTCATTACCACTACAGCACATTACAGTGTGTGTGTGTGTGTGTGTGTGTGTTCATGTCATCACAAAACCATCAGGAGTGTAGGATGAGTTCTGTTGATGCAGGTTAATATAGCCTCCAGAGCAGCTATATTAATCATGGGCAACGTTATACAGTACGTCGTAGATGATTATGAACCGCTGGCCAGGCCAACAAAGCTCCAAGCTCATTCTGTACAAGATGCTTTTTCTTTCACACGTTCTCTCCAGACAACCCTCCACTACTGACACTGGTGGCATAATGTTGATGCTTTTTTTTTGTTTGTTTCATTCCATTCAAGGGGGGATGGGAGGGAGAGGGAAGTAAATGGAACACTGAAGTAAAAGAAAAACCAAAAACGATTCAGCATCCAGCATTTTTTCTTTTTTGTTTTGGTAACTTTTTTTTCATGCATGTCAAACGCAGACATGGAGAGAGGAGGAGGAGGAGGATGTTGAGGAAACAGTAGGAGGAGGATACATAGAAGACTCAACTTACTTCTGAGCTCTGCAGTGATAGAGCAAAACAAAGACAGAACACAGTACAGAGTTTTAACCCCACGACATTCACGAAACGAGTGAAACCATTACACTTCTCACTGTAAGCACAGGGTAAAAGGGGGTCGGAGGGAGCGGGGGGCGGGTAAGGGCAATAGGAAGGACCATTACACTACATTGCAGCGTGTGTGCTTGTGTACGTGTGTGTGCGTGTGTGAGAGTTTACATGTGTGAGAGCATAACAATCAAAGGAAATGGTACTCTAGGAGAGGACATTGTAACAATCGCTAGAGGTGAAACTACCAAATATTCTGAGCTACAGCTACATTTCATCAGTTTATTAGCAATACAACTATTAATAATACAGCCTTAGATATTTTATACCACAGGTAATGTTAAAGATAATCACATGGATTGAACAATAACATACTCTAGTTTTTTGGGCATGCTGAGTGATTCACCCTGGTGGTTGGTCATATTTCTGTCAAACATTACATGACATCAAACAAACACTGTGAGGGACTTACTGGTGAATGGCTTGGAGAAACTTGCGCTGGTGTTTCCGCACCTTGGCGTGATCTATCTTCTTGACCAACTTAGTGTGTTTGTAGATGAGCCATGTTTCCCTGAGTACATTGGCAGCTGTGTTCTTTACCTGTGAAACAACGTTGAGAAAGACATAAGCTATACAGTAACCTCTCCAAGGGGTTGTATCGGGCATCCTGACTCAACAACATGACTCATATTACTGTTTTGTTTTTGCAAAATATATTATCACAGTTACTCCAAACATTGTAGTAAACTGTGACTCACTCGTTTGCAGAGTTGTGTGTCCATCATGAAGTTGTGGACATGCTTCTCAGCCTTGGTCAACTCCAGCTTCCTGGCTACCACTGCAACCACCAGTGCAGTGCAACCAGCTCCCTGTTACACAAAGACGTGGTAAAGCAAACACAGCGACATTTTGTTTGTGAACTTTCCATTTCAAAATTTGTTAGTTTTTTATATTAATAATAAAAAGAAATGAGAACCATTAAAGAAACAAAACAAAGCAGCTCAAAGTCCTGAAACACTGAAATATAACAACTATACACCAGGTAAGTAGAACACAATAACTAAAATCTAAAAAGCTGTGTTCAGATTTTTTAGACAGAAATTGTTTGGATTAGAAAGGTGGACCAAATCAGAGTATTAGTATGTAGAAAATGACAGGTCACTAAAAATGCATATGTATATTTGAGTTTGTTCAGCATGGTCAGAGCACAGCATGCAGTGAATGTGGTGTGAGCTGAGGTTTAGTTTCATAACTGTTGCAGTCAGAGTTGTCCTGTTATGTATTCATTCAAGAAAGGAACCCACCATAATCCCTGTAAGCAGACACACGCCTTTCCCACAGTACGTGTGTGGTACCATGTCCCCGTAGCCAATCGAAAGGAAGGTAATCGAGATGAGCCACATGGCTCCCAGGAAGTTACTGGTCACTTCCTGTTTGTCATGATACCTGAAGTGACGAAGATAAGCAGAAGTGGAATATACACAGTCAGTAAAACCACACACAGCTTCTTGAACGAGAGCATGCTAAAGAATGACGTGGTGCTGTGTGAACCAAACAGGGGTGGTGGGTGGAGGAGGTGGAGGTGGTGAAGATCGAGTAGGAGGAGGAAAAAATCATGGTGCAGGTGTTACACCTGTTTTGTAAGGCCAGTTTGGCACAGAGTCATAAAGAAAACAATACATCAAAGTCCATTCTGAGTAACAAAAATGAAGGTATATTCAATGGATTTGCAAGAGGTGCTATAATTCATTTCTTGTCTTCTTTGAGTAATTTTGTATCTGAGACAGTGTAATGGAGAAACATGTTTAATGGGCAGGAAACTTAAACTGACATGAAGGCAGAAAAAAAGCAAATAGTGTCCGTTTTTTTTTTAAAGTAACTCATGGAATGATTTCAAACTGAGAGGGCAAACCACTGAACATGTGTTTCATATTCAGTGTCTGTCAATATAAAAATTAACCATTTGGTGAGAGGAATTATATGAAGGAGCATTCCCAAAAATGGGTATGAGGCCAAATCACTTACTCTTGTCGTACATTAGCATAGAAATGACAATTTTTAGACGACATGTTTCCAATGACAAAGAGACAGGCCATGTCGCTGTAAGTGACTGGATAAAGTACGAGTGCGAGTACCGCAGGTCAAACTTGATTTGAATATGACAACCCAACAAATGTAATGTCAGAGCATCCAAAAACTGCTGCATTAAATCAAACTAACAATTGGCTTATTGGTCACGGTTTGCTACAAATCTTCCTCCATAGAGTTTATGCTGCCCCAAAAAAAGGGTTTGGCAATGCAAATCATCACTTCAAACATGTTGTTTGCTGAAAATAGCTGACAGCCATGCTTGAATTGTCAGTCCAAAGGCCCACAGTGCATATGCGAAGATATTTCTATAAAAAACACACTGTACAAAGCTGGATTGATGATGACATTCCCATACCTTTTGCAACAAGACAAAAGTCCATCACAGAGGCAAATCTGCCTTATCCACCCACCCTCATTCAACTCGCCTCATTATTCCCAATGGGCTGTCTAGGAGGAGATCAGATAAGATTTAATTTTGGAGTTAAAATCAAATATTCATTAAACACTTTGAGACAACATCTCACTAACATCCTTCTGACAAGACAATGTAGATGGAGTCTAATTTCTTGGGATTTTGTCAAGCTTTTCTAAGGGTGATTCTGACAGGGCCAATCATGACTTAATAATGACTTCGAACTTTCCAGCTGTGACCCAGCATGTGGACTCAAAATGGCCGGAACAATCACCTCTAATTGATGCACAAGTGCAGATTGGAACACTTGGTACCAGACTGAAATTTCCTTTCCTGTCCAATGAATGCAAAAAAAAATTACCCTGCTGGTTTTGTCAGAATGCACGCTCCTCCAAGACAGTTCATTGTTATCATATATCATAAATCAACTAATCATGCCTTCTGCAACTCCCACTCTCAAGTTTCTATTCATGCCCAAAGTCAGGTGCAAAAGTAACTATGTGAACTTTTTCCCCCTCAGAGTGACAAAAATGTGTGTGGTCTGTGGGATTCAATCTTCTTAAATGACATGCAGAGAAGCAGTCGGTACAATACCATGCAGGAATAAAAAAGATGTCTGCATCCTGCATGCTTCAAAGCCAGTATATTGAGAGCAGGGGGAGCGATGGGAAAACCTGGGGTCCATTTAGAGATGAAAACCATCTCTGACAAATACTGCAGTATTATCAGTTGGAAGGGGATTGTATGTCTTCTTGGGCAGACTTTCATTTGTAAACAGTGGGGTAGGATTGGGTGAGTAACAAAGGGAGAAGCTCATTGAATTTGACATCCCTGTCTCTTTTACCTGCATCCCAACACTTCAGCAGCTGCCCTTTGATAGCTGCCAGGGGGCTAAACTTGATCAGCTGGCTAAATATTGTAATTACAAGTGACTAGTATGTTAATTTCATTCATCTTGTCATCAAGGCGTGCAAAGAGTGAGTCATGTCCTCAAGGCAGGCAGAAATGTGCTGCACCTTTTAGCAAAGTGAACAATGTCTTAGAGTTCTCTCTGTTGTTAATATACCCCATAAATATGCTTGACCAAAATGCAGAAGGCATCTTTTTTCTCCAATAAAATGTTTTAGAGAATACTTCCTGTTTTATTATCTGTTTTTCTAATGGTGGATGTGGCAATATATTTTCAGCCCACATATTTCAATAATTCTAAAAAAGAGCAGAAGACAGCAATATGGGAATAGAGACAGAGGTTGAATGGTGAGCTAATCAATAGCATTTTAAGGCTCTCAATATACTGTGTCAAGTTTTGGAATAGCATGGAGAAGAGCTGGCACCACTTTCAACCTATTCCAGGACAAGAGGTATATAGTGTCTAGAGCAGACAGTTTTATCCCCCACTGTTAAATCCTCCCTGACAGACACTCTGCAGCGAAAGCATTATCCTGAAATCACTTACTCAAATATTTCAACGTTATTTATCCAATACTGTATATAAAATAATACTGTAATCTACATCCAGATGAGCTCAGAAACTTTGCTTCTGTGGTGGGTTAGAGGAGGGAGTACAGCATGATTCACACAACATAAGAGAAATAAAGCCACGTCTCTACAGCTCAATCTGCAATTTAACAGGTCAACAATAATAATAGGTAACAACAGCCTCTATGTATCATCCTGTCTTGTTAGCCCTACCCATTATCAAAATGTAAAACCAACACTATGTTTTGGGCTTTTGTGTGCTAATGAATGAGTCCCAGTCATTTAACATTCTAACCGCCATTGTGTGTAGATGAGCTTATGATACATATGACGAGCAGCGGCCAAAGTTGACAACACAACTTCTGAACAAACAGAATCGTAATGATGGATTAAATGTGAAAGAGCCACACACACACACACAC